CCGACTCATGTGGCAATTACTATTGTTGAAGCTATTCACTATTTACAACTTTCAATCTTATTATGTGTCTATCATATCCCGTGCAAGTGTTGTTTTTCTCTGTCCTTGCTAACCAACCTGTTATCACGTATTACATATGTGATCATTACCACTTTAGACTTGTGCGAATTCTTGGAGAAAGGCTAGTCATATCAAGTTATCGAAGTCGAGCGATACATTGTGAAGTACGGTTTGTTGAAATATGCTGACATAACGCTGTAAAATCTACAATGGTAATGTTTCCAATAGAAGTAAGATCATTTTATTATACCTCAGTATGTATATAACTAAATCAAAATTTGTTACGTAAGATTTATATCATCAGTCGGTACGAGTAGTCTCCCTTGGGGTAAGACTTTCTTCGTTTGTGATGAGGTATGTTGTTAGTGGTGCCACCACCTGTAACTATATTGAATTATTATGTACATGTATATTTTTCACCTATGTGATATTTCGTAAACACTGTTATTGTAATAATAATAAGCGTTAAGCAACTGCTTCTAGTTGGGTAAAGATAACGTCTGGGTTATCCAATGTAATTTGTTTAGTAAATATCCTATAGCGCACTGTTAAGTTAGTAGCATGTAGCAGGTACGTGCACCTGTAACGTTGTGGAAAAATGCAGGGGCGTAGCTTCCATAGAAAGAAAAAGCCCGAGCTTACACATAAAAAAAATCCGTGCATAGAGTATGTCGGACAAAATTACAAAACTAAAGTTGAAAATAGATATCAGGAGTTGAAGTTTGTTGTTAAATAAATAAAAAAAAAACCTGTCTCAGAAAACGATTCAAAACATCTTTGAAATCATCAAATTAAGACCCCTCGCCTGGGCTTACATATTTCTGCTGGGCTAGCTACGCCCCTGAAATGGCTTCACCCCTTTCGATGTTTGATTCTGTTAATGAAGTTAAGTTATAATTGATGTTATTTGTTGTTTTAGGGTTTTTATTGATAGCAATATAAAGTGACTTGACTGAGAATGGAGATGGCTTTTGTTTGTCAGCCGGACCCATAAACCTGCACGGTTACAGTTATATGATGGAAGGCGGTTTTGTATCAACTTATAATTTCTAAAGTCAATAGCTTTTCAATTACTATCGCTCTAGACACATTTTGTATGGAGATTTATGTTATCAGTCAGCGTTCGGAATTCTCTTTTCCAGATCATATTAAACTAATTAGAAATATTCCGAGTATTATTAAAGGTTTTCTCCGGGTCAGTTAGTACATGTATATGATACAGCAATTTTGAGATCAACACTGATAACAAACATATGAGCGATGTTTCGACGACTTAACTATCACATTTACCAGACGAAAAACCTGATTGATACGTACAACCACAGATGTATGCCGTGGACGAGATGATGGTGAACCGACTTTTGTACTGTTCTTGAACCCCATGCACACTAATGTGTAAAAATACACATTGGTACTCTCTCATACATGTTTTGGTCATTGTGTCCCTATTTAGAACAGAGTAGGGTCTCGAGTGTCCAGCCAAATGTATACCTGAATACATACTTTATACCTCAGTGCCAATACGACTCACAGCTGCCATTTCCTTTACAAAGGTATACAATAATGTACTATTATCGAAACGTCAACATAACTTTGTGTCACTGATTGTTATATTAGAAACAAAAACAAAATGGGTACAATGTACTGAAATGTGATGCAGGTGTCTGGAAAGTTTATGGAACGCCTCACGATTGCCATTTGCTGTGGTGTTTCACGACATCATATCAACAGAAGTCAATTCACCTAAATCAAATTAAACCTTTATTTCTGGTGAAATTTGAAAACCCGTGTTGCCCTAGTTTGTGCTCTCATGTGAAATATTCATATCAAACCAGAAAAAAGGACAATCACAATGTGTCGTATCAACGCTTCGAAGTGGAGTGGTAATTGTAGCGTTTTGTCAACACAAACATATACGTAAGTCGAGTATGCCAATAATAACGCTTTTATTTCAACACTTCCGCACATGTAAGTCGATATACAACGTAATGTGAGCTCTTCCGTATGTCTACGACAGTAATAGGTGTTATGTGAGCACTTCCGTAAATACAGCGTTATGTGAGCTCTTCCACATATCTACGACAGTAATAGGTGTTATGTGAGCACTTCCGTAATTACAGCGTTATGTGAGCACTTCCGTAAATACAGCGTTATGTGAGCACTTCCGTAATTTCAGCGTTATGTGAGCACTTCCGTAACACTTTTGTAGGTCGACATACGACAGTAATCACAGCGTTATATCAACACTTTTGTAGGTCGACATACGACGGTAATCACAGCGTTATATCAACACTTTTGTAAGTCGACATACGACGGTAATTACAGCGTTATATCAAGACTTTTTCAGTCGACATACTGTAATTACAATGTTTTAGCACGTCGTTAATTCAAAATAAGACGGTATCTCAGAATAATCGCCACCAAGTGATCATTAATATAGAGATTCCGAGTATACATACCGGCGGCTGTTATTGAAATAAAATAATACAAGAACATATGTCGGGTTTCAGTTGAGTAATAATGCGAGGGATTACAGTAATAAACAGCCCCGTTCCAACAGAATACGGATTCTCCTATATCTCGAATCGCCGTTAATGGCGAAGTTATTTCACTACAAATTGATTAGAACGTAGATAAAGTCGTATTATCAGGGTGTGTGATCAGTTTCAGACAATCTTACCGACAAGCCGATTCTGGCGGCTAGGTAGATGTTGTAATGATACGCTATCTTAGGTGTACAACGTTTTAAAAAATAACTAAGGGAACAATTATATTCGGAGGATACTCAAAGCTTCCAGGATTTTACTGACATTGATAACGTTAGATATCACAGGAATCATTACACCATCTATTAACTGTCTTCATGCCTTTTTCATTTCCTCATTTGACATCACTTCATATCAAATAGCTGTGTTGGTAAGAGTTTGACGACCTCAGGCGGACGTCAGGACAGACACTGCTCAGTGTAGCAGTGGAATATGTTTTCCAACTTCTGTAAATATTCCAATTAAGAAAGAGCACTCATAGTAGTGAAAGAATAAAGATAAAATGACCAATTCCAAATTGTACTAAAATGAACACTTGTTTGTCATGCTGAATACTTTGATGATAAGGGACCATTAGCTTTAATCCCAACCAATAGATAGGTTTAACTTGAGATATCACATAAATCAATCAATAAATCGGTTGATAATGATTGCATATCATGGCCTAATTTTACCGAGGCATCGTCGCTTTTGACGAGATGATTTGAAGGAAGCCAACAAGCGTTCACATTAGTTACACTGACAGAGGTCACAATAATTTGTAAGTTATACATGCTTAAAAACCTTGTTGAAAGAATTCAGTAGCTGTGCGAATGGACGTGTTTGATGTTAGTTATTTTGTTGTATACCTTGTTCTCATTTGAGGACGTGACATTGTATACTAATATTTACCAAGATTTACATGGCGGGTGTCGTCGATAAAGCAGAAGACGCCTACTATTCAGGAACATCTGGTTTTATTCTTATTTTTCATGTGTCTCCATGTAAATATGTCCAGTGTTCATGGTTTGCCCTAGTTTTATTGGATTTGAGTTTGGATTATGACTATAATTACACGGTGGTATTTGCTAGTTGTTGTCATATTGGATCGTTACTTCAGAAACACTAGCAAAAGTGCAACCTCTGTTACTTGTAAAAAAGATACGTGTGTCTTTTATCGAGGAAAAACACGGGATAAAAAGAGTTAACAATTGTTTGTTGATATGGGTGGCCGACCTATCAATCCCCTCGGGGAAAATTATTTATTGTCAGGTTCCAAAAACTATCGCCTGTAAAATTTGTACTTAAAGATTGCAGCTAGATGATAATGATAACACTTCCCTTGGGTGCTAATATTTCCTAGTTTCCTATCAAAACTGTAGAAACACATTATTGACAATTAGCTAACGAGCTTTTCCTAGAGAAGAAATGTATAACGAATGCAATCAGTGTAAGATATCCAGGTGACGTCATAATTACACATCAATGGAATTGTTCCTAGGCTTCTACACGGAATGATCAACATCATACTCTCGGCATTCTAATGACAAGGTTATTCACTGACTGAACATGGCCACGTTCTGTCTTGTTGGACTATTACTGTGACTGAACATGACTAGGCTCCGTCCTCTCGGGCTATTACTGTGACTGAACATGACCACGCCCCGTCCTCTCGGGCTATTACTGTGACTGAACATGACCACGCCCCGTCTTGTTGGGTTATTACAGTGACTGAACATGACCACGCCCCGTCCTCTCGGACTATTACTGTGACTGAACATGACTAGGCTCCGTCCTCTCGGGCTATTACTGTGACTGAACATGACTAGGCTCCGTCCTCTCGGGCTATTACTGTGACTGAACATGACCACGCCCCGTCTTGTTGGGTTATTACAGTGACTGAACATGACCACGCCCCGTCCTCTCGGACTATTACTGTGACTGAACATGACTGTGGCTCCGCCCCGTCCTCTCGGGCTATTACTGTGACTGAACATGACCACGCCCCGTCTTGTTGGGTTATTACAGTGACTGAACATGACCACGCCCCGTCCTCTCGGACTATTACTGTGACTGAACATGACTAGGCTCCGTCCTCTCGGGCTATTACTGTGACTGAACATTACCACGCCCCGTCCTCTCGGGCTATTACTGTGACTGAACATGACCACGCCCCGTCTTGTTGGGTTATTACAGTGACTGAACATGACCACGCCCCGTCCTCTCGGACTATTACTGTGACTGAACATGACCACGCCCCGTCCTCTCGGACTATTACTGTGACTGAACATGACCACGCCCCGTCCTCTCCTACTATTACTGTGACTGAACATGACCACGCCCCGTCCTCTCGGACTATTACTGTGACTGAACATGACCACGCCCCGTCCTCTCGGACTATTACTGTGACTGAACATGACCACGCCGCGTCTTGAACATGACCACGCCCCGTCTTGTTGGACTATTACTGTGACTGAACTTGACCACGCCCCGTCCTCTCGGACTATTACTGTGACTGAACTTGACCACGCCCCGTCCTCTCGGACTATTACTGTGACTGAACTTGACCACGCCCCGTCCTCTCGGGCTATTACTGTGACTGAACTTGACCACGCCCCGTCCTCTCGGACTATTACTGTGACTGAACTTGACCACGCCCCGTCCTCTCGTACTATTACTGTGACTGAACATGACCACGCCCCGTCCTCTCGGACTATTACTGTGACTGAACTTGACCACGCCCCGTCCTCTCGTACTATTACTGTGACTGAACATGACCACGCCCTGTCCTCTCAGACTATTACTGTGACTGAACTTGACCACGCCCCGTCCTCTCGGACTATCACTGTGACTGAACCTGACCACGCCACTTCATCTCGGACTATTACTGTGACTGAACTTGACCACGCCCCGTCCTCTCGGACTATTACTGTGACTGAACCTGACCACGCCACCTCCTCTCGGACTATTACTGTGACTGAACTTGACCACGCCCCGTCCTCTCGGACTATTACTGTGACTAAACTTGACCACGCCCCCTCTTCTCGGACTATTACTGTGACTGAACTTGACCACGCCCCGTCCTCTCGGACTATTACTGTGACTGAACTTGACCACGCCCCGTCCTCTCGGACTATTACTGTGACTGAACCTGACCACGCCACCTCCTCTCGGACTATTACTGTGACTGAACTTGACCACGCTCCGTCCTCTCGGACTATTACTGTGACTAAACTTGACCACGCCCCCTCTTCTCGGACTATTACTGTGACTGAACTTGACCACGCCCCGTCCTCTCGGACTATTACTGTGACTGAACTTGACCACGCCCCGTCCTCTCGGACTATGACTGTGACTGAACTTGACCACACCCCGTCTTGTTGGACTATTACTGTGACTGAACATGACCACGCCCCGTCCTCTCGGACTATTACTGTGACTAAACTTGACCACGCTTCATCCTCTCGGACTATTACTGTGACTGAACTTGACCACGCCCCGTCCTCTCGGACTATTACTGTGACTGAACTTGACCACGCCCCGTCCTCTCGTACTATTACTGTGACTGAACTTGACCACGCCCCGTCCTCTCGGACTATTACTGTGACTAAACTTGACCACGCTCCGTCCTCTCGGACTATTACTGTGACTGAACTTGACCACGCCCCGTCCTCTCGGACTATTACTGTAACTGAACATGTCCACACTCGGTCATGTTGGACTATTATTTAGTTCAGAAACATTTTCTTTTTCCTCACAACTGACACCGCCTTACTTTTGAAGGTTCTGTTTGCTGGCCGAGACAAACTAGGGTCTTTGAAAATGGTTCGGTGTGAGGACTTAAAATCGTCCCAGACTATCCTGTTCTCAAAACGAGTGACCCTTAGACTTAAATTGTCTGTCATGTGGAACAATATATCATGTTTCTCGGAATCAAAATAAAATTTATTAGATCTGAAACATGGCGTTAGCAAATTGGTATTTATTACATATTCCTGACTTTTATTCTTTTGCACGCGTGCACGCTAGAATCCCAGTGCATGTCAAGTGGTGCTTTTCAACGTTGTGGCCAAACCAGGCTTCTGGTTAGCAAATGTTCCCATCTAACAGATCTCCCAAGTGACCGTCGAAAGACACTATTTATTTCTATCAGCGACAGATAACCAAGTATTTATTTCTATGAGTGACAGATAACCAAGTATTTATTTCTATCAGTGACAGATAACCGAGTATTTATTTCTATCAGTGACAGATAACCGAGTATTTATTTCTATCAGTGACAGATAACCGAGTATTTATTTCTATCAGTGACAGATAACCGAGTATTTATTTCTATGTGTGACAGATAACCGAGTATTCATTTCTATGAGTGACAGATAACCGAGTATTTATTTCTATGAGTGACAGATAACCGAGTATTTATTTCTATGAGTGACAGATAACCGAGTATTTATTTCTATGAGTGACAGATAACCGAGTATTCATTTCTCTCAGTGACAGATAACCGAGTATTTATTTCTATGAGTGACAGATAACCGAGTATTTATTTCTATCAGTGACAGATAACCGAGTATTTATTTCTATGAGTGACAGATAACCGAGTATTTATTTCTATGAGTGACAGATAACCGAGTATTCATTTCTCTCAGTGACAGATAACCGAGTATTTATTTCTATGAGTGACAGATAACAGAGTATCTATTTCTATGAGTGACAGATAACCGAGTATTTATTTCTATGAGTGACAGATAACCGAGTATTTATTTCTATGAGTGACAGATAACCGAGTATTTATTTCTATGAGTGACAGATAACCGAGTATTTATTTCTATGAGTGACAGATAACCGAGTATTTATTTCTATGAGTGACAGATAACCGAGTATTTATTTCTATGAGTGACAGATAACCGAGTATTTATTTCTATGAGTGACAGATAACCGAGTATTTATTTCTATGAGTGACAGATAACCAAGTATTTATTTCCACGAGTGACAGATAACCGAGTATTTATTTCTATGAGTGACAGATAACCAAGTATTCATTTCTATGAGTGACAGATAACCGAGTATTTATTTCTATGAGTGACAGATAACCGAGTATTTATTTCTATCAGTGACAGATAACCGAGTATTTATTTCTATGAGTGACAGATAACCAAGTATTCATTTCTATGAGTGACAGATAACCGAGTATTCATTTCTATGAGTGACAGATAACCGAGTATTCATTTCTATGAGTGACAGATAACCGAGTATTCATTTCTCTCAGTGACAGATAACCGAGTATTTATTTCTATGAGTGACAGATAACCGAGTATTCATTTCTCAGATAACCGAGTATTCATTTCTCTCAGTGACAGATAACCGAGTATTTATTTCTATGAGTGACAGATAACCAAGTATTTATTTCCACGAGTGACAGATAACCGAGTATTCATTTCTATCAGTGACAGATAACCGAGTATTTATTTCTATGAGTGACAGATAACAGAGTATCTATTTCTATGAGTGACAGATAACCGAGTATTTAATTCTATCAGTGACAGATAAAAAAGTATTTATTTCCTCGAGTGACAGATAACCGAGTTTTTATTTCTATGAGTGACAGATAACCGAGTATTTATTTCTATGAGTGACAGATAACCGAGTATTTACTTTTATCTGTGACAGATAACCGAGTATTTATTTCTATGAGTGACAGATATCCGTGTATTTATTTCTATGAGTGACAGATAACCGAGTATTCATTTCTCTCAGTGACAGATAACCGAGTATTTATTTCTATGAGTGACAGATAACCGAGTATTTATTTCTATGAGTGACAGATAACCGAGTATTTATTTCTATGAGTGACAGATAACCGAGTATTTATTTCTATGAGTAACAGATAACCAAGTATTTATTTCTATGAGTGACAGATAACCAAGTATTCATTTCTATGAGTGACAGATAACCGAGTATTTACTTATATCTGTGACAGATAACCGAGTAGTTATTTCTATCAGCGACAGATAACCGAGTATTCATTTCTATGAGTGACAGATAACCGAGTATTTATTTCTATGAGTGACAGATAACCGAGTATTTATTTCTATGAGTGACAGATAACCGAGTATTTATTTCTATGAGTGACAGATAACCGAGTATTTATTTCTATCAGTGACAGATAACCGAGTATTCATTTTGATGAGTGACAGATAACGGAGTATTTATTTCTATGAGTGACACATAACCGAGTATTTATTTCTATGAGTGACAGATAACATAGTATCTATTTCTATGAGTGACAGATAACCGAGTATTTATTTCTATCAGTGACAGATAAACAAGTATTTATTTCTATCAGTGACAGATAACCGAGTATTTATTTCTATGAGTGACAGATAACCGAGTATTCATTTCTATGAGTGACAGATAACCGAGTATTTATTTCTATGAGTGACAGATAACCGAGTATTTATTTCTATGAGTGACAGATAACCGAGTATTCATTTCTATGAGTGACAGATAACCGAGTATTTATTTCTATGAGTGACAGATAACAGAGTATTTATTTCTATGAGTGACAGATAACCGAGTATTCATTTCTCTCAGTGACAGATAACCGAGTATTTATTTCTATGAGTGACAGATAACCGAGTATTCATTTCTCTCAGTGACAGATAACCGAGTATTTATTTCTATGAGTGACAGATAACCGAGTATTTATTTCTATCAGTGACAGATAACCGAGTATTTATTTCGATGAGTGACAGATAACGGAGTATTTATTTCTATGAGTGACAGATAACCGAGTATTTATTTCTATGAGTGACAGATAACCGAGTATTCATTTCTCTCAGTGACAGATAACCGAGTATTTATTTCTATGAGTGACAGATAACCAAGTATTTATTTCCACGAGTTACAGATAACCGAGTATTCATTTCTCTCAGTGACAGATAACCGAGTATTCATTTCTATGAGTGACAGATAACCGAGTATTTATTTCTATGAGTGACAGATAACCGAGTATTTATTTCTATGAGTGACAGATAACCGAGTATTTATTTCTATGAGTGACAGATAACCGAGTATTCATTTCTCTCAGTGACAGATAACCGAGTATTTATTTCTATGAGTGACAGATAACCGAGTATTTATTTCTATGAGTGACAGATAACCGAGTATTTATTTCTATCAGTGACAGATAACCGAGTATTTATTTCGATGAGTGACAGATAACGGAGTATTTATTTCTATGAGTGACAGATAACGGAGTATTTATTTCTATGAGTGACAGATAACGGAGTATTTATTTCTATGAGTGACAGATAACGGAGTATTTATTTCTATGAGTGACAGATAACCGAGTATTTATTTCTATGAGTAACAGATAACAGATTATTTATATCTATCAGTGACAGATAACCGAGTATTTATTTCTATGAGTGACAGATAACCGAGTATTCATTTCTATGAGTGACAGATAACCGAGTATTTATTTCTATGAGTGACAGATAACCGAGTATTTATTTCTATGAGTGACAGATAACCGAGTATTTATTTCTATGAGTGACAGATAACTATTTATTTCTAGAGTGACAGATAACCGAGTATTTATTTCTATGAGTGACAGATAACATAGTATCTATTTCTATGAGTGACAGATAACGTAGTATTTATTTCTATGAGTGACAGATAACCGAGTATTTATTTCTATGAGTGACAGATAACCGAGTATTTATTTCTATGAGTGACAGATAACCGAGTATTTATTTCTATGAGTGACAGATAACCGAGTATTTATTTCTATGAGTGACAGATAACCGAGTATTTATTTCTATCAGTGACAGATAACCGAGTATTTATTTCTATGAGTGACAGATAACCGAGTATTAATTTCTATGAGTGACAGATAACCGAGTATTTATTTCTATGAGTGACAGATAACCGAGTATTTATTTCTATGAGTGACAGATAACCGAGTATTTATTTCTATCAGTGACAGATAACCGAATATTTATTTCGATGAGTGACAGATAACCGAGTATTTATTTCTATGAGTGACAGATAACCGAGTATTTATTTCTATGAGTGACAGATAACCAAGTATTTATTTCTATGAGTGACAGATAACCGAGTATTTATTTCTATGAGTGACAGATAACCGAGTATTTATTTCTATGAGTGACAGATAACCGAGTATTTATTTCTATGAGTGACAGATAACCGAGTATTTATTTCTATGAGTAACAGATAACAGAGTATTTATTTCTATCAGTGACAGATAACCGAGTATTTATTTCTATGAGTGACAGATAACCGAGTATTTATTTCTATGAGTGACAGATAACCGAGTATTTATTTCTATGAGTGACAGATAACAGAGTATTTATTTCTATGAGTGACAGATAACCAAGTATTTATTTCTATGAGTGACAGATAACCGAGTATTTATTTCTATCAGTGACAGATAACCGAGTATTCATTTCTATGAGTGACAGATAACCGAGTATTTATTTCTATGAGTGACAGATAACCGAGTATTTATTTCTATGAGTGACAGATAACCAAGTATTTATTTCCATGAGTGACAGGTAACCGAGTATTCATTTCTCTCAGTGACAGATAACCGAGTATTCATTTCTCTCAGTGACAGATAACCGAGTATTTATTTCTATGAGTGACAGATAACCGAGTATTTATTTCTATCAGTGACAGATAACCGAGTATTTATTTCTATGAGTGAC